AATAATTATTCACATCATCAATCAATGATAAAAATACTAGCAAACGTACATAAGCATTTAATAAAAAACAGGTAAATAACTTTATGAAGAACGAAAAGATAAAATAAACGTTTATTTTATCTTTTCGTTCTTCATAAAGTTATTTACCTGTTTTTTATTAAATGTTTATGTACGTTTGCTAGTATTTTTATCATTGATTGATGATGTGAATAATTATTCACGAAGCGTCTCAAATAAAAATGTTCTTATCGACGTATATTATTCTCTTATTTTGTATTAAATTTATACACCGGCTAATCAAAAAACCTAATGAATCATTCTTGATGCTGTTTTCATCTAATACATTTCATTAAAAAAAACAATATCAAAGCATCTCACAAGATGCAACGTGGAAAACTTATTGAATATAAACAACTTTCGTTTTTTTTTTTTTTTCAATAGACGAAATTCAGTTCGACTTACTTTTTTTGCGCATAATTCGATACTTCTAAAAACGGTCTTACGTCTGTAATTATATTTAAATTTGACGAAGTATTTTTTTCACTTAAGAATCATGTTGTGGTTATTCTTCCACATGCACAATCTGACGATAAACGACTGTTGATCAACTATTTCATCTATCAGAAAAACTTAAAACTTCATAAACTGTATCGTATAACATATTTTGAATTTTTAATCATAACATTTAATGGATTATGAAAAGATGAAATGCACGACGTAATCATTCATTATGTACTACCCGTCAATATTCTCTATGTATAAGATTACATATTGAGAATTTAACTATAACTTTAAAATTTAAAACAATCGAAAATATACAACTTTGTTTATATAAAAAATAACAAGACGTTTTATTATTATTCTGTCGAAATTTTTGAGAAATATTATTTTTATGTAAATATCAACAGCATCATCCTAATTGCTCAGATATCATAAATTCAATTGAGTTGAAACTTCACTACAAATAAGTAACAAAAAAACGTTTTTACGAGCAAAAAATGCTCGCTGATCAATTCCAAAAAGTTAGTTCGGCTAATATTTTCAGTTACACACACATAAGCCTTATGTGTAGATGAGAAATCTTATCGAATCGAATAAATGTTTTACTTTCATTTCTTGACTAAATGAAACTTCAAAAACTTTTTCATGATAAAGATTCCTGATTGATATCAGCTACGAGATTCAAAAATCCGTATATAAAGTGTTGATAAAACCTCAAAATAAAATGGCGCTATTTGATTCAGATTGAATTTCAATTTCTCAGCTTATTAAAAAAAAAATTAGACGTGGGAATAACAGATTTCAGTTTAAATGAGCGTAACAGCTCAGAGAACACGGTAACTACAGATCGCGACTATGACTGTGATCGTGAATCACAGAAATTCTTTACATAAACTAAATGTATTATTGATAAAGGTACAATATATGTAAGAAAACAAAACGAGAACGATGATAGATTTAAATGTTGACTTTATTTTGGCATTGCTTTTGTTCAAAATATAAGTTATACATGATTCATATAGATCATTTATTACATATAAAAGTAGCTACAGATACTGAATCTATATAAATAAAAAATAAGATCATTTCATAGTAGACATTTTTCTATCGATTAGATGAACATATGATTCTATTTAATTAGAAAAACCCGTTATTTTCTGCTCAATATTGCTTTATCATTTTTCAAATGTTAATACAATCTGAAAGTTTTTTTCTCTATGAATTCATAAAATAACAGAACAAAACAGAGTTTCAGGTCATATTTAATTTTCTCAGGATGTTTTTTCCTTATTATTTTTGGTTCACAGTAAAAAAAAAAAAAGGCTTCTAATCCTTACTAGCAGCATTTTCCGATTAATACTAATAAAAGGAATGCAGACTTTTATATCATTAAATCGCCCATAGGTCAGAATATATGTTTGTCCTATATAAATTATCAAAATAGAACACTTTGAATTTTTTTCCGTCATGTCTACTGAGATGCCCATAATACAAAATATGGATGTGGAACACGAGTCTCAAACAACTTTTATTCTACTAAATGACATATATCTATTCTGAATATTTTAATTGTTTTCTTATAGAACGTTCCTACAAAAACGCATTGTATGAAGAAAGGATTATCTCAAATCCATAATCCAAAAGTATTTTTGAATCTTTCTATAAATATATATATTTTTGTCGAATCCTCTTTATATAATCATTGTAAATCGGCTATTTACTTATATGAATAAATTCACTATCTGATGTTGAATTAATATTTGCATGACCTCCAAATGCATTTTGACCACATGATAATATATTCATAAAAATAATACAAATAATAAGAATAATAAGTCGTGTAATATGTAATAAACCTTTTTGATTTTTAGTATAATCAATATTCATTTCTTCTTATGTTTCTTTTCTTAGTTAATTAAAACAAGCAAAAAAAAGAAAAGAAAAAGAAATAGCGCTTCATTATTCTATTGATTTTTATTTTTAAAATCGAAATTATGTCGATAAACTATTTTACACATGCATTTGGTATCATACATCTTATACGTTTTATATGTTTAATAATTTTATTAATATTTGCTGAATTCAAAATTTCTTCTTGTAGTTCATCATTAAATGAATTTCTTGGTTTTAATCATCAATCAATATTATTTTATTATATTTTAATATGGATATCATTGACATTTGAAATTTATTTTCTTATAAATCGTTTATTTGGTTCAATAAATCTTCAAGCAAAACAAACTACTTTTATTTTATATATATGTTTATCATGTTCTTATCTTCTTGCTTCATGTTTTACATTATATGCAATTATTAATTATACACATGGTCATGTTATAACACAACATGATTTTAGTGATCCATCATTAAAAATTATTTTTATTACATATGATTGTAATTTATTACGTTTAATTGGTATTATATTTGGTTTTTTAATTAGTACACTTTATTTCATTGCTGTTATACTAATTTATCATTTAAAAGATTGAAACAAACAAAACAAAAACAAAAAAAAAAGCAAAGGTTGTTCTTTTTTTTTTCCTTTTTTTATTGATTTTTTTCTCTCGATATGACGAAACAAATATATTCAGACATACACACACACATATATTTATATATATATATACATGTACACTGCGTGAGATAATTGCAAAAACAGGTTTGTTGTTGTTTTTATTTCATAGAATTAAGTTCATTAATTAATTCAAGGACTTGTGGTGAACGTGATGATGCATGTATATTATCTCGAAGTAAACAATCAATAAATGATAATGTCATTTCTAATTTACCAAATGTTATTTCAAAAACTGTATATGTTGCAAATAATGTACATATAGCTGTTAAAAAATCATTTAATGGTCGATGAAATAATTGGACATAATCTAATTCAATATTATATGCTAATGATGAAGATTTTCCATCGAAAAATGCTCGTGCTGGATGATCACCACGTATAATTGGCCATGGAGATTGTGCATCCTAAATAAAACAATAGAATTTTGTTTTTAAAGTTTTTTGTTTTTTTTTTTTTGTTCTTACTTTCTCTGGTGAGATTAATAAAAATTGATATTCACCAAAATAATATGCAACAATTAATATAGCGAATGTATCGGCTAAGACTAAAAATAAAAAAAGTAAAATTCGCTTAGAATGTTTGTAAAACGATGTGGATATGTTCGCTCATCAGTTAGAAGAAATATACACGTGAAGATGAGAGGAAACTACTCTTGACCTAGAAGATTTTGACACACCTTCTATATACATACGGTATAAATGGACTAAGCATATTCGTATAATATTTGTTCTCATTAAACTACTAATAAGTATCGCAATATACGTCGCTTTTCAATGTTTACTTGTGTAGGGAATTAAATGAACTTTTAGTCGAAAAGAACTTTAATTTGTCGAGATATTAAATTTTCAAATAAACTCTATTTTTGTATCATGCCTAAAGCAAGTAATTCTTTTTTGGAAATTCATAAACTATACTAAGAGTAAAAGAGATCTATCTATAGTCGAAAATTCAGTGAAATAATCATAACTCGAGATGTTCAAGGTCATCCTACTCTAAACTGTAAGCTAGAGTACAGGTTGAAAATTTTCTCTCAATCTAGGTATAGAATACAAAAAAAAAAGCTTGTCCCGCTCATCTCTAATCATACCGAGACCTCCTTGTGGGCACAACATGAAATCAAACAGTAAGTTATAGTTGACGTAGTTGTCTCATTAGATATAAACAAAATTAGTTATTTTTATCGAAACTAATATTATCTTGTTCATATTTATCATCGAGAGAGTTTCTTTTCTCATATAATATTACTTTGTTCTAATTGTGGTCGTTGAGAAAGAATTGTATGATAAGAATGAAGAATTTCAGGTGCACAACCCGTTTCTTTTGCAAGTCGTATAATAGGTTTTGATATTGAACGAAGTTTATGTATTAAAACTGTTTGAATAGGTATATTTGTTTGCATATGAAAATCAGCAAGTAACTAAAAATAAAAACTTTTAATTTTCAATGAAAAGAAAAACTAAAACATACACATGAATGTAATTGTAATGCTGGATATTCTAGAAGAATTTCATTCGTATTATGTGTTTTAACAAAATCTCGTCGAATTTCAAATGTTTCTTTAAAATAATCTGATATAAGAGATATATCAGGATCATTTGTTGTTGCTAATGTTTCTTTCATAGCTGCTATACAAATTCGTAAACGTTTTAATTCTTCTTCATCTAATTCATCATTATTTTCACTGATTTGATCCTGAAAATAAGAATATTTTTTCTTAATCCAAAAATTAAAAAAAAAGACAACAAATTATCATACAGTTTCTTTTCCATTAGTTGGTCTTGGCATTTCACCTGATTCATAATGTCCTTCATCGGAATCAACTTCAAAATCATGTCTGGATCGTTTTTGTCCACCGGATGTTTGTGCTAATTTTTCTTCACCTATTTCTTCATCACCGGACGTTCTATCAAAACCATTCTCACCACTCATCGATTGTGTCACGTCAATAAAGGATGTTGCAGTACGACGACCACGTTTAAATTTTCCTTTAATACCATCAATCCATGCACCCTATAGCAAAAATATATTTTTAAAGAATTTCTTTTTTTTTTTATATTTGTACGAAAATGACTTACTTCACCACCTTCCGTTGAAGATTCAAGAAATGGATAAGTTTTAACAAGTGCTGAAGCAACTGTTTTATACTGTCGAGCATTTGGATACCTAAAATAAAAATTTAATAATTAATAATAGAATATTTTCAAAGATATATATTTAATTCAATGAGTTAGTACTATCCTTGAAAGACTTAATTTAAAAATCTAATGAAACAATTTTCTATTATAAATGAGATTATGATTTATGAGTTATAATCTTCAATAACGAATAGATATTAATTGTTATATGTCACAATGCATACCAAAACTTAATAACATCTATTCTCGTATCTATCGTCTAACCATCGACTCAATCAATAAGAAATTCAATGATAAACTGCATTTCAAACAAGTCTTATCTCATCTAATAGGTCCTACTGACATTATCATCTTTAAAATAAGACGAGTGAAAATATCTCGAAACGATTAAGCCCTCCGCCCAAAATACGATCATATTTAATAAAAATTGTCCAGTCACCCTCATCATTCATCATTCGTCATACAAGTCATGACGACCTCGAAACATGTCTACATATTTGATCTCTCCGAGTTTTCTCCAAAAAACTACTTAGAATTCATCTCAAAAACGATTAATCACTTTAGAATTGTTCTTATTAAAATCGTACAACCCTTGCTCTATATGAAAAACTTTATTCGAACAATTTTCCTATTAGAAAAAAAGAAATTGTGTGTTCAGTGGAGTTTTTTTTTTTTATTTATCACTATGTATTATAAATTAATATTTCTATGAAAAAAGTAAGCTATGTAAAAATAGTCTACTGCATATTACGAACTTTGTAACAGATAGAAGTCAATAGATATATATATATATGATAAATTATTCAATAGGGATGTAATGGATATTAAAATGAATTCTTACGTATGATAAAAACGGATTATTATTTCATATATATATTTTTCTCTTACATACCAAAGATTATATGCACGCGTAAGATCATCATAAATTGATGAGATTAATAAATTTCTATAATAAGTACGTAATTTAAAAGCACTTGCATCACAAGATGCAAGGGCTAAACGAAGTGTTTCAGGAAATTGTGGTAATTTATATACATGAGGAAATGTATGTTTAGTATCATTTTCGTTTGTATTCATATTTAAATTTCCATTTGTTTGAGTACTAGAAAAGCAAAACAAAAAAAAGAAAAAGAATTATTTTAATTTTTCTTGCTTTTTTCTTTTTTTTTCTAAAGCATACTTAAGTGTTTGATTTGGAAAATATTTTGGTTCACGTTTAAGAGTTTTTAATGGTAGTCCTTTAGAAATATTTGAGCGTTCTGAATATATAATTTTTGATTGATGATGACCATTTAAATTTGTTGGAGAATTTGAATTTGACGAATGACTATTACCATTATCGAATGATGATGATGATGCTAAAACATGAGTAGCTAATTGATGTGTTGTTGTTGTTCGTCCATTTGTTAAAGTTGATGAAAGTATTTTTTTCGAATTTAAATCAGCTGCATGTCGTTGTTTAAGTGCTTGTAATAAGTCAAGAAATTGTACTTCAAGTTTTATGGTTGGAAATAATCGTGCAACCATTGATTCACTTAATTTCAGTAATATAGGACCATCAATTTCATTATCTAAATAATACAAATAAACTTTCAGTATATCATAATCAATAATTATTTTGATAATTTTTATACCTCGGAAGACTTTTTCAAATGCACCTAAATTTGATTCATGAAGCCAAGCAACAACAGCATCAGTATTCCATTGTGCAACAATTGATTTCTAAAGTTTCATAATATAATAATAATGATTAAACAAAGAAAAGTTAAAACAAAAAAAAAAAAAAAAGATTTTTACCGTATAAATTGATACTGAATCCATTAATTGTCAATAGAAGGTCAACATAAGAAAGAATATACAATTCAACGTTCTGAAAAAAAGAGATTTATGAATGTCCGTCTGAATTTTTTTCTTTTTTTTTTAAGGAAAAGAAGAAGACATACAATGTGGACGGACGAATCGTACGTGTATATGTACAATATAATCTTTTTTTTTTCTCTTGATGGTCTACTACCGATATGAGTGACGAGCGAAGAATGTTTCTTCTTTCTTTTCCATTCGTCCGCCTGCTTCTGACTGAGTCCAATCTCTCTTTCTGTCCTATTTTGCGGTTGTTTAAGAAGAAAAAATTTCAGAATAAAGAAAAGGGCAAGCAAAATCAAATGTACACATGTATAGGTATATATACATATATATCAATTGACTTTTAGTTAAAGATAAAATACATGTAACAAAAATCTTTTATTTCTCAACATTTTTTATTCTCGAGTTCTCAAAAAGTGTATTGCCTACAAGCAGTTTTGTCTTTCTTTTTTTTTTCTTCTACTTACTACACCACATTCTACTAAAGGCAGTCATAGAGAACTACATGATATAAGTACGTTCTTTTTTTCTCGTTCGTTCTGTTTTTACTCCCTTGTCGGTTTTCTTTGATTGGCACTAGTCTATTGAAGAAAAGTGCATGCATTATAGAATTGCACTCTATGAAACTGAGTTTTGAAAATAACATGAATGCGTATACATACGTTGGTTGTTTTTTTTTCCACTGATGGTGAAACTATGAATGAAAACCTTTTTTATATATATATCCGTTCCGAATGAGAGACTACAAGCCAACGCCCTATTTCTATCATTATCGTTCTTTTTCTTTTTTGAGTTTCTACGCCTTACTTGCCAAAGCTAGTGTGTATAGGCCAGATAAAAGAAAAAAAAACAGAAGGACACCCCATAAAATCGTTTTTCTCTCGCATTTTTTTTTTGCGCTCTCTATTATCTTTGTCATCCAAAAACCGGGTTTTACATGTCGTCGTCCTTCCTTCTCTCTCATCTTTCTAGATCATGTAATATAAGCATTTGTGCATGCATTCGTTCTATGTGTAAAGTTCATCTCTCAACTTCTTCTCGACATAACGCCTAATAGAATGCCGAAAAATCCAAAGCATGCAAGGGTCTCTTTCGTGTTCTTCTATACCTTCATAACTACTGTGTGTGTGTGTGTGTGTGTGAGCGAGTGAATGAGTGTGTGTGTGTGTTGTGAGACTTGGTATTGGAGATGACGAGGAACGTTAATGAAGAAAAAAAAAACGGAGAACTCTCAACTCCATCGTCGACGACGAACAAAATCTTCTGGATGTCGCCGTCGAGCACGGCGTAAGAGAAAATGAAGAGAAAGAATTTGTGTTGTAGCAATGCGTTGAATGGTGCGTAAAGGGATTCTGCGTCGATCACTTTTTTTTCTCTCTTGCTATCAGAATTTTACTGCATATAGAACAAGAAAAGAAAGATGCAGAGTTCGTAGTTGAACCATTTGTCCGTTCGTCTATCTATCCATTCTATATATTAACTCTTCTTTACAGTTCTTCTGCTGCACATATGTATCTATATATATATATATATATGTGTATGTGTATTCTTTCTTTCTCTTGTGTGTGCATACACTCATACTATTGATTGAAAGGTTGTTTAGAGGTCAATTTCGTTCTCACACATTCTCTTTATATCCATCAGCGATGTGTAAAGATCAAAACTTTTAACCAAGGAATATACAGAAAAGTAATCATTGTATCAATAAGAACAAAAGATATATGATGAAACGATATTTTTGAAGAATGACTGATTGAAATTGATACACAGAAGAAAGAAGAAAAAGAATGGAATTAATAATAGCACGAAGAAGTTATCATGAATCAATGAGTGTTTTTCGTCCTCTTCAATGCTAAATGACTCAACATGTCAACAGCTGATTTCTTTTTTCTATCAATGATAAAAAAAAAAAAAGAAAAGAAAATGCATTAGTATAATTTGTTTTTCTTTTCAACGATCAGTGAATTTTTAAAGAAGCAAACAAGTCAAGATAGATTTTAAGTATACCATTAAATCAAGAAGCAAAATTGCATAGCTATTAACCTTGTGGAATAGAAATAGTCAAAATAAAACTTGAAGATTGAAACGAAAAAAAGGAAAAAAAAAAAAACGAATTCGAACTGAAAGAAATTAATAGGAATTAGAATGTTTAATTGTATTTATCGAATTTTATATTTTTACACAAAATATTTCTTATCGAAAAAAAAATCAATGAAGTTTACATGTGCATATATATGATGAAATTTTATTTTTCTGCATTTAATTATTTTAAATAAAGTACAATGAATATGTCTGAAGTAAAAATCTAACATAATTTATTTATTAAATAAATAATATCTATTACTTAGAGAAAATACATATTGATTCAAACTTTTTTCTTTAATATAGAATTAATTTAACAGAATATTTAGTATACAAAACAAATATGAGTTGTTTTCAAATAATTGTAGATTTAGAATTAAGACAATTTCATTAATGATTACTCTAGAATCCCATATAAATATATATATATACATATATGAAAGCAATTGATTTTGAAAATATTGTACGAGAGAAGCCTCAACAATTGATTAATCGTTTTTGAGTCGAGGCTATATGCATCATACAGATTCTAGGAATACTTTGAAAAGAGTATGGAGTTTTAGCTTATTTCTGGGAAGATACTGCATTTTTATGATATTTTGTTAATTCAATACGATGATTTCCCTCAGGATAACTCGTTCTCGAATTTCAGCTGGAACCTTTGCATAGAAGTAGATCTTAATAAAAATAATTTATTATGAAAGTTTCAGATCTATTGATTTGTTTCTATCCTAAAATAAGAACATTGAATCTATCAATGTAGAAAATACATACTTTTATCATAGCTGTATCTTAGGATAGAAACAATGAAAAAATTTGAAACTCTGACAAAAAATTATTCTCATTAAGATCTGTTTCCAAGTAAATTATCAAACCGAAATTTGAAAATCAATTTTCCTGAGGAAGATCACAGCATTAAATTAATACTTATCATAAATATGCATTATTTCTACAGTAATAACCTGAGTAATCGAACTCTTTTTTCAAGGTATTCATAGTTCATTAGAATATACATAATGCAACTAGTCTCGACTTAAAAGTGATTAATCAGTTAAGGGATTTCTCTTGTTAGATCAATCAAATAATATGTTAAAATAAAAATCAAATTTGGCAAGCGTATGAAATATGCATCGGGTAGTACTCTAGCATTCAATCGTGATCAATAAACATTGATTAACATATATTTTATAGACTTGAACAATATAGTATAAATAATAGTGTTTTGACATTCAAGTTCCGATAGTTGAATTGTTGATGAAATCTAATGTGTTTGATCTTGAAAGTTTTTTAACCTTGTTTTTTTTTCTTTACATAAAGATAGAAATGTTTATTTAAGCAAGAAAAGATATTTTTATAATTCAAATAGATAATGCAGATCTCTTAAAAAACGAATATTTTTCTTTATTATTCAAGTTTTATTATTTTTTTTTTAACCAAAGATTTCAATTGAAAATTTCTACAAAATTGGATATAATTCAATTCAAAATTAATTTTACAAATTGAATAGCATAAGAATAGTATTAGTCTTCGTACGAATTTCTTTAGTACAAAATACCAAATTCGTGCATCTATTCGGAATAACCATTGGTCAGTAAAATTTGTCTAATTTAAGTTTATCAAAGCAAACTCATTGAAACTATGAATGTAAAGTATCTTACAGTGAAATCAACATAAACAGACGTATTTAAACGTATTGATAATAAAGATTTGCAAAAGGAAAAAACATTATATTTTATGCTTGATTTCCCTGTAGGATAATATCTTATCTAGAAAAACTATCCCATTTTGTAGAGATTGTCAAAAGTAATCTTTCAAGAAAAAAAAAATGTTTTTCAATTAGTTGAGTACGAGAAGAAACATTTTGAAAAAACGAATAGTACAATTATTCATGAATCCTCTATTATTTTTATAAATATTAAGGCATTACAATTATAAAGAGTAGGTATATATTGAAATATATGCAAAAACAAAAATTTTGATGATAATCTATTTAGTTTATTTATTAAATATTCCAATCATTGAATTAGGTGTTTGTATCGATGCCATGATTTTTATATTTACTTATATTAACACTCGAATTAAGTTTTTAATACAATGAAGTGACGAGAGAAGTTTTTTTTTTTTAAGTTGAGAATTGATTCATTTTTCATGAATGATCATAGCTACAACTGAAAAATTTTAATGTTTACAAAGAAATAAAAAATATATTTTAAATTATGAAATTATTCCCTTCATCATATTATATATTAATTTAATCCAGAATTTTATTTTCTACTACTAGAATTAGTTTTCTCGAAACGAAGATTAGTTTTTTTTTTCTATTCATTCAATAAAATAGTAAAAAAATTATGTTCGACGTAGGATGTAATCTGTATTGAAAAATCAATAAATCTTTATTGTGTTTTTGGTTTTTTGGAAATATCGGTCAATATTAATCGGTACTAATCATAATTATAAAGAACGGAAAATATATGAATCCTCTGTAAATAATAAAAAAAATATCCTACTAACATAGAATGATTAGTCAATAAAATATTACATTAAGAATCGAGATAAGACTCTTTCAATTCTATGATTCGACCAAGCATTTCCTCTTAGCTTGAATGCATAAACATCTGTGTAATCTTTCTTTCTGTAAAGCATATGAGTAATTATTAGCAATAGTCTGATGAATAATATTAGTTATTGAGAATAATAATCAAGTAAGTAGAAAGCTATCACTTAAGTTTAGTATAACACAAGTATGTGGGTAGACATTTATCGGGACTGTTTCAATCATTTTTTGGTAAATTACTGTAACATTATTGTGTTATAGTAATTTGTTTTCTGATTAAAATGAAAAAAAAATAAGTACGCGAATAGTATTGGGTGTATCC